TGTCAAAACATCCAGTGACTGCTGAGCGTGCGGCGCATGGATCTTAGGCGTCAGGAGTATGACGCCTGCCATGGAAACTCTGAAAACAGCCACCTGGAGAATGGAGACTGAGCCCCAGATGCCCTAGAGTTAGTGGACATGAGTGGTGTGGAAAGTATCTGGGTGCTTGCCATAGGTGACGTCGGTGTTGGACCTAGATGGAAAAAAGGTGTTAAGATGATATATTAAGAAAGCGCAACAAGCACATTCATTCATGTGAAAACCGGGGATAAACACGGAAAAGTGCAATTCAAACAGTATGAATGAAGGCACTTATGAGATACCCCACCTTACAAACTATACAGCGGGTGCCGTATAGAAACTGCAACATAGCAGAAACCCCAGCAAACACGGTGAAAAACATTACAATAGTAATGAGGAACACACGGGGAAACAGTATAATTGAGAACAAACGTCTCACAAATACTGACAAAAACTGGAGACCAGAATTAAGGCTTACTATACTGATAATAGTACAACTAATAAGCATGAGCCAAGAACAAGCCACTACGAATACATCGGAGCCATGTGTTCTGAAAAACAAAGGAAAACACAATTCAAAGGGTCTAACCACCCTTCACATGAACAACTGCCACTGGACGCCTTCTCATTCCAAGAATCAGAAAGAGTTTCGATTGCATTCTGATGTAAGTATTTGAGCGATATATGAGCATTATCATATACATGTATGAAGACAAATCTAGGGGCAATGATTATCAATCTAGGATTTCTAGGATTTCAGGATACCATCATGACAGGACACTGTAGTGCATCCTGTTTATTACAATAAAACAATTGTACCCCATCTCACCACCCCTCAATGATATGGACACTGCTTGTTGCATCCTGATACAGGAAGGTCCCCCATCTCACCCCTCAATGATATGGACACTGCTTGTTGCATCCTGATACAGGAAGGTACCCAGCTCACCCCTCAATGATATAGACACTGCTTGCTGCATCCTGATACAGGAAGGTACCCCAGCTCACCCCTCAATGATATGGACACTGCTTGTTGCATCCTGATACAGGAAGGTACCCCAGCTCACCCCTCAATGATATAGACACTGCTTGTTGCATCCTGATACAGGAAGGTACCCCAGCTCACCCTCTCAATGATATAGACCCCTCACTGCTTGTTGCATCCTGATACAGGAAGGTCCCCAGCTCACCCCTCAATGATCTAGACACTGCTTGTTGCATCCTGATACAGGAAGGTCCCCCAGCTCACCCCTCAATGATATAGACACTGCTTGTTGCATCCTGATACAGGAAGGTACCCCAGCTCACCCCTCAATGATATAGACACTGCTTGTTGCATCCTGATACAGGAAGGTCCCCCAGCTCACCCTTTAATGATATAGACACTGCTTGTTGCATTCTGATACAGGAAGGTACCCCAGCTAACCCCTCAATGATATAGACACTGCTTGTTGCATCCTGATACAGGAAGGTCCCCCAGCTCACCCCTCAATGATATAGACACTGCTTGTTGCATCCTGATACAGGAAGGTCCCCACCCCAGCTCACCCCTGATACAGGAAGGTCAATGATATAGACACTGCTTGTTGCATCCTGATACAGGAAGGTACCCCAGCTCACCCCTCAATGATATAGACACTGCTTGTTGCATCCTGATACAGGAAGGTACCCCAGCTCACCCCTCAATGATATAGACACTGCTTGTTGCATCCTGATACAGGAAGGTACCCCAGCTCACCCCTCAATGATATAGACACTGCTTGTTGCATCCTGATCAATAGGTACCCAAACTCACCCCTCAATGATATCGACACTGCTAGTTGCATCCTGATACAGGAAGGTACCCCAGCTCACCCCTCAATGATATAGACACTGCTTGTTGCATCCTGATACAGGAAGGTACCCCAGCTCACCCCTCAATGATCTAGACACTGCTTGTTGCATCCTGATCAATAGGTACTTAAACTCACCCCTCAATGATATGGACACTGCTAGTTGCATCCTGATACAGGAAGGTACCCCAGCTAACCCCTCAATGATATCGACACTGCTTGCTTGCATCCTGACATGTAATGCCTAACGCGATTTTCGTCACTGCACTTACAAGCAGACCACAATATGTATTTGTTTTCTCATACAAGCTGTATGGCCCTTTTTTGGGTTTCTAGAAACATTTACTTTATCAACAATCATTTGTTTTTTTCATATTTGATGTATTTGTTGTTGGGATATTAGTAGCCCTGGTAAACCTGCTTTAGGCTGTCAGTTTACATGAATGAGGACCTAAAACTGGAACTGTAACCATGGTAACCAAGCTGATAAAAATACATTCAGATGTAAAATAACGTTATTCTTGATTTTTCAAAAATTTATCAACATGTCCATGGAATATGAGATGAGGTGAAATGGGTCCGACTTTTTTTCACTCATGTTACAACGTGGATACGTGTGTATGTGTGGCCATTTGTACTAGCCCAGGCTTAAACTGGTTTTTCATAGTGCTAATTGATATACCATGCCACAGTTAAGCATGAATACCGTACTAAGACACACCATACTGACTCCGAGCCAACCAGTTCTTGTACCGATTAATGCCGAGTGACAGGGAGGGACCAACAAGTACCATATTAAAGCGTCTTTTGGTTTGACGCGGCTGGGGATCGAACCCGCAACCTTCCACTCTCCAGGTGTACGCTCTAACCACTACACCACGGAGGCGGTGTCCATGGATTATGAATGAGCGTAGTGTTAGTCACTACCATTCTACTCTCCACAGACGGGATGAAGCTTCCCCAGTGCAGGAAATATTCATGAAGAAAAACCCTGAATACTGCAACAGCTTGAGACAAAAATCAAAAAACAATCACATAAATAACATGAACCATTTGCACTGAAAGTGAAACTATTGTAGCTTTCATACTGCTGATATAACCATTCATTTACATTCTGTGGACAATTCAGGAATGGTGTACCTATTTAATGATGATCTAACTTTTAACAAACAGAAAGGCACTGAATCAATGATGAGCTAGGTTACCATAGTTACTGATGGCATCTTGAACACATCAACTTGCAAAACTATTCACACACACCATATCCGATTTTTGGATCTCAAAAACACGGATTTGAGGAAATCCCAAATGGGACAAAATAATGCCATGTTATTTTATCATGTTACATTGCTATGGATACTAAACATGATAAATACTGTTGCCTATAAGGGCTGGAATGAATACACTGTGAGACAAATACCATGTGTCTTACAAATACATAGCAACAAAACACAGGGATTATTACACAAGCTAGTGTGGCATACCACTTACATGAAACCAGTGTGAAATTTTGTTGCCCGAGGTAGAGCTAGGGCACTACATAATTCTGCACGAGTTTCGTATAAGTCGTATGAGTCGAGTGTAATAATTTCTTTAGTGTCCATTTTATTCATGTACATTTGTGCAGTAACACACGGTAAGCAAGTGTGACAGCCCTGTTAATTGACATCAAGTTGCATTGTTTAATGACGTCACAGACAACGAAATACAGACACAGTGGTAGCTAGGCAAAAGTGATATGAATATATGACACTGGTTATTTTTCACCACATGGATAATAACAATATTTATTAATGAATACTTTGTTTAATATCAAGGAACCAAAATACCAAACATATCATGTAATTGTTTAGGTTGAAACATTTCAGTGATTTCTGTAAAGCAAAAGAGCAACACATCGCAAACAATGTTGCTTATAGCCTAATGGCCCTAAGGGGCCTTGGCAATATGTCACTAGATGGCTTGGATATATATGCCATTTTAAGTATCTCTTAAATTCACAACATACTAGTTCAAAGTTAAAAGTCTATAGCACATATTCGCAAATATTTGATACTACAAGAGTAATGAGTTGATTACATGAAGGGATACTGTTCGATTCATTGAATACACAAGTGAATTGCAACAGGACAACTGTCTATAACCTTTGTGACACCTACAACCAAACTGTGTACTTAGTGTTCAGGGGGAGTTTTCTTTGCCACAGATAATATTACAAATCACAGTGGTAAGGAATTGAAGTAAAATTATCTTAGACAGTTGACATGTGACTAGCACCAAGAACCACACATCCTACATTGACCTCAGTGTTCCCTGACGTTCACCTGATGTGAGCTTCTGTGGCTATGTCGTCATATCTTGACATCGATAGTTATCATATCGGAATAGAATACCTGATTTCAATGAGGTTGGCAGAGATACAATCTCAGTTTGATTTCAATAGTGGTATACATCTAACACTAACAAGACCAAAGCCATTGCATGTATGACGGTAATCAGCCCTCTTCTCTTAGCTGACTTCTTCCATCCAGCAAGCTACTGGATTAGATTGAACATAATATACCAGGAAGAAAACATGGGGGGCAAGTGTCACATGCCATTCTCAACCTTGGACAGCAATAACTTCTTCACAACATACTTCCTTCATGGAAGCCATTCATAGAGCAGTGCACATAGAAAGCTATATGATATGGCTGAAAAACTGCTGAAGTGACCATAAATCTAACTCACTCAAAATGAACATCATGCATCATGACTTTTTGATTGGACATTTGTCTATTTCATTACCAAATTGAAAACTATTTGGAGGATATTCTGCATGGCAATCAGACAATGTCCAAGAATATGAACTGATCTGAAACATTGATATTCATACTCATAGATGAATAGTAGTCAAGTAGTACACTGTAATTTGTATACACACACAAAAAGGATGTCTGAACCAGGACAGACAAGGGAACTAGTGTGGGCCAACAGCTACTCACTGTCCTGGTTGTCAGTGGCTGTGGTTGTTGAGGCATGGGTGCATGATAACTTAACACAGTCTGCAAGGACAGTACTTATTAACTCTGTTAATATGGTCTGAAGACATAAAATATTTTGACCATTTCCAAAGCAAATAATATCTGCACAGAGAGCCAAACCTACCTGATTTTACTTCCAAAGGAATGTCAAGGCTTTTCAAGGCATCTTTTTTCAAAGGCAAATTCTCAAGTTCAACAGCTCCTACAATGTTAACAAGAAGTAGACATATTACCACTATTAAATGAAAACAAGTACATGCTCTTATAAAAACTATTAAAAGTATCTTTTGTAAAGTTCTTCCTGTGCAATGCATTCAATTCAGTTTTATGCTGCTTTTAGCAATATTCTAGCAATATAATGACTGGGGACACCGGAAAAAGGGCTTCACACATTGTACCCATGTGGGGAATCGAACCCATGTCTTCGGTGTGACGAGCGAACGCTGTACTAGGCTGCCCCACTGCCTTTGGTGTGTCAATATAAGAGTGGCAGTAATAATGTATAAGTAAAGGAATATCCAGATGTTTACCACTTTCATGGAACCCAATAGCATGGGTTGACAAACCAAGAATTATAATCAAGGAAGATCTGGAATTCAAGCCACATTCATCAGATTCAGGTGCAACTAGGGAACACAACTCATGATCACAGATTTCTGACACACCAAGCATGAATTAGGGACACAAGACTGCCCAGAGGCACCATGGACAACAGCACCTCTGAGCCCGTTATCTACAGCATGTGAGTGTTGGATGTCTCACCTTGCAGCAGAGCTATGGACAGCTGGTCTGTGTTGAGGTTCTCCACATACTCCCCTACATAGGTGTTGAGCACCCATGCAGCCAGGCCCTCTAACATGTTGCTGGTCTGTCACAAAACACAACCACATCAGAGGTACAACTGTGGACAAGAACAGTGACACTAGTATCAGAACAAAGCTAATGTTATCTTGGTTACAAGGCATATAATTACACTTATACAGTGAAGGGCATGCATGAGTGTGGCAGCTAATGTACATGTCTAGACCTATGCTGTTTTCAGTGCTAAGGCCAGACCAATTTTATTTCTTGTTTTACGGATTTTTGTCCTCAGAAAACCTAAAGACAGGAGGGAAAAAAAATGAAAATAAAATCCCAAGTCAAAGTAATATTCCTTCTAAATATTAAAAGTATTTTACTTCTGGCAATTTATGATATGTATATGGGGGATGAAAACAATCAAAAAATCTTTTTCTTGTAAGTTTACATTTTTGGCCAATAACATTTGGATTTTATTATTTGAGCTGGGAAGATTAATTTATTTTTTTTATTCTAGAAACAATACGACCGGCGGATCCGTAAAACAAGAAATAAAATTGGTCTGGCCTAACCCACTGGTATGCCATGCCACATTTTAACACGAATACCCCACTCATATACTGTATACTGACTTAAGCCAACCTGTAGTTGTTGTATTACTTTGATGCTGTGTTCCATGTAGGGCAACGTTAACCATCCTTTTACATAGTTTGGAACTTATGTTCTGTTCACCAAACAGATGCTATACCTACTGCGATACAGCTCACATACCCCCACTTCCCACTTTGGGACATGGATATGACTGATATTGATATATATAATGTGACAAGGATCAGCAGCTCACAAGACTTTCCCCTTGACTCTACTAAACTTTATATACATGTTAGATAATTGTGTTGCCATGTACTGATTACAGTAATAATTTATGGAAACATTACTTTTTTGTGTTTTCCGTGGAAACCTGACATACAATTGAACTTGTTGCACACAATGAAGTGGACGTAGATGAAGATTGTTATTTTTTAGCACATGGCATATCTGTGGGTCATGATTAACTTGTGTATTAAGTTTGGTGAACCTAGCATGTATAGTTTCGATGATATGCTGTGGCCAGGTAACCATCAAACACATTTTGCATCAAGTCATGTTTCCATGGAAACAACAACAAAACAAATTCTGGAAAAACTTTAAAATAGCAAAAGGCACATCAATGGGTAATGATTAACATGTGTGTGAAGTTTGGTGAACCTAGCATGTAAACTTTAAGAGATATGCTCTGGACAAAAACCACCAAACACATGTGGCACTAAGTCGTGTTTCCATGGAAACAGCAATAAAACAAAATTCTGAAAAAACTTTAAAATAGCAAAAGGCACATCAATGGGTAATGATTAACATGTGTGTGAAGTTGGGTGAACCTAGCATGTAAACTTTAAGAGATATGCTCTGGACAAAAACCACCAAACACATTTGGCACTAAATCGTGTTTCCATGGAAACAGCAAAAAAAAATTGGGTGGGGGAAATATTATGAAATAGCAAAAGGCACATCAATGGGTCATGATTAACATGTGTGTGAAGTTTGGTGAACCTAGCATGTAAACTTTAAGAGATATGCTCCGGACAAAGTTTCGGGACGGACGGACGGACAGAATGAACGCTATATACCCCGTTACTTCGTAGCGGGGGTATAATAAACTAGAGGGTACTTGTGAAAACAGAAGCAGCTTCTTCACCCATATTTCCTTTACTCAAAATCAACAGTAGCTGACAAATACTGCTACATAGTGAATATCAACCAAGTGTTCTGTGATATCAATACTTCAACACGAGTGAATGAAAGTTTATAACTGAGTTTGGGGAAGTTTCACTAAGAAACATGATATCTACAATGCTGAGTGAGTGACAGTTGTTACACACTAACCGCAATATTTCATCTGTACGACAGATTTAATCAAACCAGTAAATCAAGTCTGGCCATGCAGACTGGTGGTAGATAGCACTACAAACCTTGGATCAAAACACACAAAAACAGTCCTCCTCTCTCCAGGTATCAAACATGTGAGATCAGGCTAGCACTAGGAATATCTTCCAGCTTTCACAGAGAACATGTTGTGTGTTCTCTACCCTGTCTGATCACAATGGCTGTCCAGTGTTACTAGAAGTGACTTACATATAGGTACTGGAAAGTCATGGTATAAAAATGTATACTCATTATCTCACTCAGCTGACAACACGCGTTGTTTGTATGAATACATTGTATACAATTTACAATAAGCGTTTATGAATATGAGCAGATTTATGCACAGTTTCTCAGACTGTCATAATTCAGAGACATCTCTTGATTTATTCAAGATGTGACCAGCACATAATCAGAATTTTCATATAAATTTATATCATATAGTAGTTCTATACTGACTTTCAAAATGTATAATTTACTGTTATGCAATAATATGGTCACTGAGTGAGTGAGTGAGTAAGTGAGTGAGTTTAGTTTTATGCCGCTTTTAGCAGTATTCCAGCAATATCACGGCGGGGGACACCAGAAGTGGGCTTCACGCATAGTAACCATGTGGGGAATCGAACTCTGGTTTTCAGTGTGACGAGCGAACGCTTTAACCATGAGGCTACCCCACTGCCCTAATATGGTCAGAATCATCATAGTCTTGCAAATGATCATGATGATGGAACATTTTTTAGCACAGGTATCTTCCTGAGTCTATTCATAGGAACAAATTCTGAATTTTAACATGAAAATGGGGGTCAATAGTCACTTGATGACCACAGTATAAACAAAAAATATTCGCATATATATCACTTGTAAGCATGGTAAATAAGTGTGTTTTTCAGTTGTAGCACAGTTTGCCAGCTTGATGTGCAAGTTGAAGACAAAAATGTTTGTAAAACCATGCTGTAGTAGTACAGCAGGATGCATTATGTTAAGCATTCCTAAGTCCATGAGGGGATATTCTTTGGTATTATTTTAACACAGGAACTGGGCCAAATCTTTGTTTGAAACAAGATTATGCAACGCTCTTACTTGTGTTTTAATAAAAGTTGCCTTGGTGATGCCTTGACTTTCACGTAATACACTACTAATTGTTATTTGTACTCATGAGTCATGTTGACAGGGATGATCCAAATAACCACACGGAATATTCATCATGGATTCTTCATTAGTTTCAAAATACCACGATGACAATTTCACATTACACCTACATTATCAAATGATTTCAGTAATGTAAGTCGACTGATCAACACGGAGATAATCCTCTCCCACACACCTCCGTGTGTAGTGATAAACATCAATAACTTATCCAACCAAGAAGATCTACACAGTGCCATCTATAATAATATTATAGACATGATACAGGCGAAAAGTTTATCCACCAGACAACATCAGAAGATGCCTCACATGTCCCTGATGCAAGGACAGTAACCGTGCTCGTCATTTATCGGAACGGAGAAGCAGCCGAACTTTTTTGACAAGTATGTATTTTTCAGTTTAAGTGACTCACAAACATACTTACCATTACAGTGTCTTCCCTAGTTATATTTGCTATACATCCCAATCCCTTCTTAACGACAAGGCGTGTATGAACATTGGTTGTGTAGAATCATGTTTTTTTTTTATTCAGTTCAGTCCAATGACAGTGTTATCAAAGTGCGTAATGGCGATTCTGTATATCATACGATATGGTATAAAACTATTTGGTGTGTACCAATTATTTCATAACATTTACAGAATGTTATACGTAAAATCCAATTAATTCACGGGATAATGCTACAAAATAGCTGTTTAAATATAGATGTTTTTATAATTTTATGTAAAGATGATTTCTTTGATTCTATAAACTCTAATTTTATAATAAAGGTATAAGTTGTTAAGAAAATACTTCATGTAGTAGAATACGATGCGAGTAAGGGGGACATAACTTTGTTTAGTACTTCCCAGTGATGCGACTTTGCGCGATTTTATAATCGCGCTCATAAATATTCCATTTTTATTATCAAAATGTCCATCCACTCACATATGAAACGAAAGAAATGTTAATTAGAAGGTATTTTAGGGACTGTTTTCACATGTTTGTGTGTGAAGCGGACATCATTTTGAAATGGTGATAGAAGCGCTCTTAAAATATGTCATTGGATATGTGCTTCGCAATGCATTTGTGACCAATTCATGCCAGCCTGGACCAAGTCTTTACGGAAAGATCATATTGGTGCTGACGATTGCAATTCAAAGTAAATATTTCTATTGTCACGTGTACCGACGTGTTAGATGAACTGCAGATATTTTGATAACGAGTGTCTGAAAACAGCGTGAACCATTTGATGCCTTTATTCTTTCCAGATGAATAATTTACATTCCAAGGAGTGTTCATACATGTTAAAAAGGCCAAACCACTTATGTTTGACAAAAATTGTTGCATAACACTAATTCAAAAAGAGACAGGATTTCTCGTCTTTCATGTGTAGAGAAGGTATTTACAACGGACACTAAAGTGTAACTCACCACTTTTATTGAAAGTAATAATTAATTATTTTAAAAGCGTCTTTAAAAGCGAATATATATTTTGTGGCCACTTCGTTGAAATATATTTTCCCTCTCAAAAGATAAAACTGACGTTACTCAGGACTGAGGCAAATCTGAACCCCACAGAGAAGGAACCAAGTAACAGTTAAGTCTTTTGTTGGGGGCACAATGTGATGTCACAGAGGGATATAATATTTTATCTAATAATCAAGTTTCACAAATCTTGTATTTTGAGTGAGCTAATATTTCGAATCTATCATTGTTTTGTCATCGCAGTATGGTCCCCACATGGATGTGTAAGAAGGTTTCTACTTCATCTTTGAATGCTGCAATGAAGAGGAGAATGATGTACAGCAGCTAAAAGCTTCAACTTGCTGCCAGTAATGACTGACTCAGTGGCCATTACACATTGCGTCAGTAATGATGCTTGTATTGCGCCGTCTACGTTGTTGGGAACGTTGATGCTGCCGGACAGTTTACAAGCGTTCAGATTGAGCCGATTTTGTTGGGGAAGTGATTTACTGACTCAAAAATATGTGAATTTTACACACACAAAATTAGCATCCCCTTTATTCCCATCATAGCCTACAGATAGAATCACTGGAATGTTACCCAAGAAGATCCGGGTTAGAATTGATCTTCAGTAACCCATGCTTGTCGTAAGAGGCCACTAACGGGATTGGGTGGTCAGGCTCGCTGACTGGATTGACACTGTCATCGTATCCCAATTACGTAGATCGATGTTCATGCTGTTGATCACTGGATCGTCTGGTTCAGACTCGATTATTTACATACCGCCACCATATAGCTGTAATATTGCCGAGAGCTTCATATAACTAAACTCACTCACTCACTTACTGGAATGTTGCAGCAATATGACGTCACAATGATGAAATGCATCGAGTGTATTTGGCTTGCCATGCCAAATAACGTGATCATCTTACTCAGTGACCTGGCAATACGATACTAGCTGAGTGTCGCAACTTCAGTTTAAAGTGGGATATAAATTCGATATTTTCAGACGAGCACAATATTTCATCATTAAATGCATAAAATATAACGAGGATAAATAGTCAGGACGTCACAATATGAAAACTCTATGCCACCTGAAGTATGTATGATTATTGCATGTTTCTTTATACGTTTCACATTCTTATTTTCGTTTTCAAATGGTGGGCATCTGCAGGTTTACTGTCCAGTAGGAACAAGCAGAGACTCCACACCGACATTAGTCACCTATCAATTGAGCAAAGATAAACTCTAGTTTCGTGTAATCGAAATTGGTCAAGAGAAGAGTGAGTGAGCAAATATCACAGCGGGGGACACCAGAGATTGGCTTCACACATTGTACCCATGTGGGGAATCGAACCCGGGTCTTCCAGGTGACGAGCGAACGCTTTAACCACTAGGCTACCCCACCGCCCCAAAGATAAGACTGACTGACTGACTGACTGAGTTTGGTTTTACGCCGCTTTTAGCAATATTCCAGCAACATCACGGCGGGGGACACCAGAAATGGGCTTCACACATTGTACCCATGTGGGGAATCGAACCCGGGTCTTCGGCGTGACGAGCCAACGCTTTAACCATTAGGCTACCCCACCGCCCCCCAAAGATAAGAGACTTAATGTGAATGGTAGTGTGAGTACATCGGTTTTACGCCGCTGCTTCCACCAGAAATGAGCTTCACACGTGTCACCCATAACACATAGGCGGATCCATAGGGGGTGGGGTGGAGGTGGGTGGCACCCCCACTTTTGTCCTGAAAATTTATTAGATGACTATTGAAAACGGGTGAAAATGAAGTGTGCGCCCCAACTCTTCTCAAGAGTGTGCACACACACACACACACACACCCTCTCAAGAAGCTGTATCCACCCCTGTAACACAAATATCAACCCTGGGTGTCGGGCTTCAACAACCATGCAGGCTACACAACCTCTCATGCGAGCTCACATGCGAGCCACACATGTAACACCATTCGCCACTGTCAGCTATGAACGCCATACAGATATTATGAGGAAACATTAAAAATCCTGTTTAAGGTTAACATTTATGCATGAATAGAGAAATATGAAACGAAATTAAAAAAAACCCCAAACAAACAACAGAATGTTAAAAGTACACACGATGCTAGTGAAATCGGAGCAATGTGAAGAAAAGGACGCTCAAGCTAAACAATGACAACACAGACCGCCCGATCGTGCAGGAGATTGTGCAACATGCTTATATGTGACGTAGATAGTGTGTGAGGGCTGGGGATGGGGTCGATGTGAAAAGAGGAACGTATCATGCATGGTTGTGTACCCCCGGCAGGGTACAATACATGGCTTCGACAATTCGACAATATATGATCATTACGTCTTGTCACAAGTGATCACATGATCGGTTTGAACCTTACACTGTCTCCGCTGCACATGTGTGCTCAAGAGCGTTCGTTGTTGGTGCCTCGCGTGGTAGGTCGTTCAGGTTGATTTACAAGGAAGACAAAAGTCAGGTGTCGAGTTGATGACGGCAGTAGCCATTTTTGTTATAATTGAGGGATATGGTCGAAGTGGTACAGGCAGAAGGTAAACCCGTGAAAGAACGCACACCAAGACGTTACACCATGTGGCGTAAGGTCACTGACCTGTGTACGTGTACATACGTAACTTCCGCGGACGTAAGGATGGTGATGATTGACATTTATAGATAGCGTTGAGATAAGCCGAATATATGCTGAATGCATTTTACCGACAATTGAGATTGAATTTCGGTGCACTTTGGGCGTATATTGCTACAAGTAAGTCTCTTGAGTAAATGAAGTTTTTCAAGAAAGTTATTGAAATGGTCTGCACGATAATAGCCTGATGCAGTTAAGGCGTGATTTCATCACTTCCTTTCACGTCTATGTGCGAACCCCAGCATAAGACGAACTATACTGGCATAACTAACTACAGCTTGCGGACCGCCACTGTATTGGATGACAGGATGTGCGAATCCCAGCATAAGACGAACTATACTGGCAGTATAACTACAGCTGGACCGCCACTGTATTGGATGACAGGATGTGCGAACCCCAGCATAAGACGAACTATACTGGCAGTATAACTACAGCTGGACCGCCACTGTATTGGATGACAGGATGTGCGAACCCCAGCATAAGACGAACTATACTGGCAGTATAACTACAGCTGCACCGCCACTGTATTGGATGACAGGATGTGCGAACCCCAGCATAAGACGAACTATACTGGCAGTATAACTACAGCTGGACCGCCACTGTATTGGATGACAGGATGTGCGAACCCCAGCATAAGACGAACTATACTGGCAGTATAACTACAGCTGGACCGCCACTGTATTGGATGACAGGATGTGCGAACCCCAGCATAAGACGAACTATACTGGCAGTATAACTACAGCTGGACCGCCACTGTATTGGATGACAGGATGTGCGAACCCCAGCATAAGACGAACTATACTGGCAGTATAACTACAGCTGGACCGCCACTGTATTGGATGACAGGATGTGCGAACCCAGCATAAGACGAACTATACTGGCAGTATAACTACAGCTGCACCGCCACTGTATTGGATGACAGGATGTGCGAACCTGTATAAGACGAACTATACTGGCAGGTATAACTACAGCTGGACCGCCGCTGTATTGGATGACAGGATGCGACGAACTATACTGGCAGTATAACTACAGCTGCACAGCATAAGACGAACTATACTGGCGGTATAACTACAGCTGCACCGCCACTGTATTGGATGACAGGATGTGCGAACCCTGCAGCATAAGACGAACTATACTGGCAGTATAACTACAGCTGGACCGCCACTGTATTGGATGACAGGATGTGCGAACCCCAGCATAAGACGAACTATACTGGCAGTATAACTACAGCTGGACCGCCACTGTATTGGATGACAGGATGTGCGAACCCCAGCATAAGACGAACTATACTGGCAGTATAACTACAGCTGGACCGCCACTGTATTGGATGACAGGATGTGCGAACCCCAGCATAAGACGAACTATACTGGCAGTATAACTACAGCTGGACCGCCACTGTATTGGATGACAGGATGTGCGAACCCCAGCATAAGACGAACTATACTGGCAGTATAACTACAGCTG